TATGAAATAGATTATATTATATTTAATTAATGATGTTGAAGGAGATTTCTATTTGATAGGAAAAATTAAGCAAGATAAATTGGATTTACTATACTTAAATGATGAATTTATTATTAAATAAAGTTGACATTTTCTTTTGTAATTTGAAATTAAAAAGAAAAGCAAAGATAAATAATACTACCTCCGTCCCATTTTATGTGTCTTAGTTTGACTCGGCACGGTTATGAATGAAGTGGTTGAAAAAGTAAAAGTCGTAGTTGAGATTTGAGTATAATAAAGTGAAATGGTGTAGACCACATATTTCTTTCCAAAAAAGGAAAGGAGACACTTATTTTGGGACAACCCAAAAAGGAAAGTAGAACAGGTAAAATGGGACGGAGGGAGTAATAACCAGAGAAGAAGCAAGGTGGTGTGAGAAACTATCCCTAACTTCTCTCATGTTGATAGATGTTTTAATTTATTTACTATATTCAGTTATTTAATTATTAATAAGTATTGATTATGACATAATTAGAATCATTAATAAGTAAAGTCTTTCATTGTGATTGAGAAAGTAGTCTAGAACTAGAAGCTGTTCTCTTCACCTGATCTAAATGTTTCTGATCTGAATTTTTTAAATTCTGATCTGATCTGATTTGAATTTTTCTGATCTGATCTGAATCTTTCTGATCTGATCTGATTTGAATATTTCTAAAATTATAATTACAATTATAATTACTATAATTGTAAATTTAATTACACATATATAATTTAAATATAATTATAATTATAATCATAATTATAAAAATTATAATTATAATTACAAACATAATTATAATAGGTATAATTATTATTATACATATTACACTAGTTATAAATATAGTTATAATTATAATTGTAATTATATTTATATTTATATTTATTTCTATAATTATAATTTTAATTTTAATTATAATATTTATTTCTATAATTTTAATTGTAATTACTCCGTATAATATGATAATAACGAAAACAAAACTAATAACAATAACAACAACCATATTAGTAGTAAGAATAATAATAATCATGATAATAATAAATATCATAATAATAATAATAATATTATTAATAATAATAATAATAATAAGGTGACAACTCCGATACCTTTCTAAAAATAGGGGTACCGTACCTAGCATTCATTTGATTGGACCATATCACTTTATCAATTTTAATTTAGATTTAAATAATTCAACTGCTACCTTTTCATTGGTCCATGTGGACAAAGGTATGGTACCTTATGGGTACCATAGAAACTAGCTAATAATAATAATAATAATAACAATAATAATAACAATAATAATAACAATAATAATAACAATAATAATAATAAGAATAATAATACTAATAATAATAATATCAATAATAATATTAATTATAATACTTACAATAACAACAACAAGAATAATAATTATAATTATTATAATTATTATAAATATTATTATAATTATTATTATAATAAAAAGGATAAATCATGTCTGAACTTTTCTGATCTGATCTGAATGTTCCTGATCTGATCTGAATGTTCCTGATCTGATCTGAATGTTTCTGATCTGATCTGAATCTTTCTGATCTGTTCTGAATCTGTCTGATCTGATCTGATCCGATCTGAATTTTTCTGATCTGATCTGAATAAAATAAGAATAAGCAATAAGTAATAAGATTAAGACGAACAGAACAGCTTCCTATTATAAACATATGATCCACCTACGTAATTCATACACCTTTTTCAATATTCAGTATTAGATACAACTTTCTTTAAAAAAAGAGTTTTCATAACTTTTTATTTAAGGGAAATCTAACTTTTTAGAACTAGTATCCACTTTTTATGTGGATACCAATTAAATGTTAAGATTAAATGCCCTACCAAGCAAGTATTCGCCCGTTTGATACTTATAGGGATAAAGGTCAGATAGGGCTCCGAACTTGAAAAAAAATGTCAAATAAGACCATATTTAGGATGCTCTGTCCGGCCGACGCCATTTGGGGTGGTTCCCGGTGGAACTTTTTGATGAATTTTTTTGAGAATCTTATTCATTAAGTCTAGTTTATTCACATCAAATTTGAACTAACAATTCAATCGGGAAGGCATTCAAATGAATTCATAAAGATAACTGCGCTTTTAACGGTACAATTATCTTCAAGAATTCATTTGAATGTCTTCCCGATTAAAGTTTTAGTTCAAATTTGATATGAGTAAACTAGACTTAATGAATAAGATTCTCAAAAAATTTCATCAAAAAATTCTACCGGGAACCACCCCAAATGGCGTCGGCCGGACAGAGCATCCTAAATATGGCCCTATTTGACATTTTTTATCAAGTTCGAGACCCTATCTGACCCTTATCTCATACTTATATTATCATGTATTATTCATTACTTTGTCATAGCCAACAAAATAACAAATATTTAAACTTCCGTTGTGTTGCTTTCGATGACCATTACATATATTTCCTAACATCATGTTTATTGTTTTGTAAAGAAAGAAGTAATTTGATTAACTATTAACTATCATTAATTAAATCATTGTTCAAGTACAACAAAATGCAGCTCTGAGGACAACCTTGCCATTAACAGCTATCACACATAGAAACGACTATCTTGCAAGTTGATGAGGCACCCGATTCGCTGACCATTTTACATAAGAAAATGCAATACTATAAAAACTATCTGACATATTTCTAATATCATTCACAACAAGCTCAAAGGAGGACTCGTTAGTTCCCGACTAAGCACGCTCGATAAGTTGGAGAGAATCAGATTATATATACACAATTCCAACCGACATCCTAGATCCAACCGAGTGCCTCCTGCATATCTAAAGCCTCTACTTCCTTAGGAAGGCATTCCCACGGGCTGCGAATAACACCACCCAATAGAAAAGCTTCCGTACAATCTCGAGCCACCCAGTCATCCCTATAGCCTCCAACCCTTCATGCTTCCCCGTTTCTACCACTTGTTGAGCCCGTCTCCAACCTTCCAGAAAAGCAGAAGCAATGGCTGCTATTTTAGCCTCATAGATAGGTACATCATCCCAAAGCTTCTCCTTTCGAATCTTCCACTGACTCTACATGTACATAAAAAGTGCAACAACTGTCTTATCCTTTGCTGCTGAAAAGCTGTTAGCCTAGTCCCTGAAAACATACACATCACCCGCTAAGTTCCTATTAATGAGCTTTGTAGTTGTTATGCCACCTCACATTCCCTAAATAAATGCTCAATGCTTTCATTTTAGGTTGCACACACAACTCACAGAGGAGAGCAACTGACTCTTTTTTGTATACCGTTGAGAGACAACCTGCACCAATTTGCAAGAAGAAAACTTTCACTTTCGGGGTACTTGAAATCTCCAAATGCTTAGCACAATTGTGCATATAGACGACTGGTTTTAGAAGACTCTCATGCTTGCTTTAGATAAGAATATGTGATTCAAACTGTTAAGACATTTGATAACATTTTCTTTAGTATACAATTATACACCAACACTTCTCTCTTAATCATTCTCTCAAGGGATGAAAGATCAAGATATCTAGCTCCACCTACAACTAAACTCACAACAAATATTTCGAGTAAAAACCTTCCCGAATGTCTTGCTTTATGCTAGTGCTGAAAATTAAAGTGGATTTCTGAAAATTTATCTTTTGTCCTGGTGCTTCCTCATAGTCGTTAGGAAGATTTTGAAGCATCGAGATTTCTTCACGTGAAGCTAAAAAGAAGAGAAATCTATCACCCGCATACAATAAGTGGATATCCTTGGAGCCCACCTCGTCAGTTTTGCCAGCTTTTCCACTTAATGCATTCCTCTTTGTGTAATTGAGCACTCAAACGTTCCGCTATCAAGATGAATAAATATAGTGGAGCGAGTCACCTTGCCTTAGTCCTCTGGTAGTTTTAATATGTCCATGCATGAGATCATCAAACATAATGGAGTATGTTAATGTTCGAACTATCCATGACCACATCCACCCACTTAGTTGCAAAGCCGAATCTAACCATCGTCGTCTCTTAAAAAGGCTATTCAACTCGATCATAAGATTTGCTCATGTCTAATTGTAAAGCCGCAAATCCCTATCATCTTTGATGTTGCCTCTTGAGGTAAAAATGCGATTCAAAGGCCATAAAAATATTACCAGTTATTCAACGGCCCAATATTAACACAATTTGGTCAAGAGAGACAATTCTATTAAGAACCAATTTCTTTGCACAATGAAATTGGTCTCCTAACAGCTACCATTTCAGGTTTATCTTTTTTTTTTTGGAAAAAAGCACAATGTTAGGTTTACTCCCTCAGGTAGCTTGGTGGCATAAAAAACTTGTTTACAATTATCAACTACTAGAGGGTGTACCACATCCCAAAAGTTTTGAAAACCGTGGACTAGTACCATCTCGATAAGAACTTTTATAGGGTTACATTGAAAGAAGAGTCTTGATTTCCCTTCTCTAAATATCTTTTTAGATTGGTCTCAATAGTTACAAACTTTATTCTTCCGTCATTCTAACTTCAACACAAAACAAATTAACTCCATAAAACCTTAGAGAGAAACAAAAATATATATTAATAAAATATTCCACCGCCAATCTTATTTTTCTAGAATATCTCTTTCATTTAGGAACTTAAAACAAGAAACTTAAAACAAATTTTTATCTGCTCTTGTTGGACAAATCACACTTGACAAAGTTTGTTTTTATTTAACTGGTTATGCAATTAGCTATTTTGGTATTTTCTACTATGTACTCCGTATCTAGGGGGTGTATCTAGGGGATGTTTGGATCTGATTCTTAAAACTGATTCTGCTCTTTCAGGGAGCAGAAGCAGACGCTGGAGTGTTTGGGTGAAAGTATAGAAGTGATTCTGGTGCTATAATTTACTCCTAAAATCAGTTTTTTTAGAAGTTGGGGGAGACTAGCTTTTGAAAATTGATTCTGATTCTGATTCTGTTTTAAAAAAGAAGCCGAAGCACTTCCAAACACCATTAGAAATGAAATGAAGATGAAGTAGGTTCACCTTTCTGATTCTGGGTTGGTTCGCTGCCTGGCCCTGCTCATTTGCCAGTCTCATTCATCTCTGGCGATCTTCAGACAGCGCGGTCGGCGCCTCCACCCATCTGCTTGTTCAGTTTGCTTCGGAGCACCACGGTTCTGCATTAGTGGTACATATACATATAACATTATAATTCCATTTTATGGTAATTCAGATGCTTTCTAAATAGAAAAATGCTTGAGGTATTTTGTGTGCCGCAAAACTCTTCTAAATATACCGCGAGAAATGTTACTTAAACACTGTTACACATTCAATTAATTCGAGCAGAGGATGGTGCTACGATTTCGACCCCTCTTATTCTGGTCGACATTGCTTTGCATTCGGTTGATCAGCAGATCAGTGGTATCTCTCCCTTCCAGAGATTTCCTTGGAATCTCTCCTCAAGGTCCGCTTCTCAGGCTCCATTCCCATCTATTTATTTGTATGATTTGTTGAGTTCTTATAATATGTATTTTGTGTTCAGATGAGCAGTACTACAGTGGATTGTCATCCGGAGCTGCTATAAAATGCAAAAACGGATCTAATAAATTCAGTGTGGCTCAGCTCAATGATGATTTCTGTGACTGTCCTGATGGCTCCGATGAGCCAGGTCTTCCTCTTCCCTACATCCCTTTATAATTTATGCGTTTGTTGGTGTGTATGTGTGTCATTGAAACTTTTGGAATTGTTGCATTTAGTTTTTGGTCGTTTTTGGTTATTTACTGTTTACTTGGGGTGGAGTTTCACCTAATATAGTTTAAAATTTTGAAAAGAAAAATAGATTCGCCTGAGTAAATGTCTTGAAAAATTGTTTGGGTAATAACAGTTCTACCTATCTGAGGAAATTTTTATTTAGTTTTGTTCGGGTTGAGGTGAATTAATAGAGCATAACATGAAACATTCATCCCGATTAGACCACGTGTTGGGGAACAAAAACAGAAGAGAATCAATGTGAGTTGGATGGATGATTCACCTCACGCAGCTTAGGTAAATAAAATAAAGCGAGTTTCCAAACAGCGTGAATCTAATCGTTATTCATGGATTTATGTGGGTTCATCTCAATCCATGCGGAGCAGTGAGAATCAAGAACTATATTTTGTGGTGTTAGAGTTCTGACTGATTTTGGAGGACGTTTGTGCAGGAACCTCAGCATGCCCCAGTGGCAAGTTCTATTGCCGAAATGCTGGACATACACCCCTTCTTATATATTCATCAAGGGTTAACGATGGAATCTGTGGTATGCATAATTTTTTGTCACTGCTGCTCATTCATCAAGGGTTAACGATGGCAAGATCCGATTTCATATATCGATTTATGTTAGCCGATCTCAAACTCTTTTGGGACTAAGGCTTGGATGTTATTATTTGTTGTTGCTGCTGCTCATTAGCTTCTCTTGAAACAGTGAAATGCCTAACTGGGGTATTATGTGAATGTATTAGTCATTGGGTTGGGACTACGCATATACTCTATGCAATTGTGCACTTTGTCAGTTTGTCTCTCACCATTTTTTATCAGCCACTTACGCCAGCAGCTTTACTTCAAGAACAAGAATCAAAATTGTTATCAATGTCTACTCACAAGCAAGATGTGAGATAGGGGACAACAAGCTTGTGGATTGTTTAATGATAGATACGGGTTAATGAAATAAAACCCACTAATTGTTCATTTATTTACGGGCTATGATATGTAGGACAGAGTTCTTTCGATTAATGGTGATTACTCGGGGTTATGTTTCTCCTTCCGTCCCGGTGGTGGACATTGCCTGTTGCGGTTTATGGTGATTGATAATAATTATAATCTATCCCGGTATAAATTTAAATTATTATTTTTATTATTTAGAAACTACACTACAAGTCATATTGAACCGCAAAAATAAAATTTGAATTCAATAAAAAAATAATTCTCAAAATTAAAGAATAAAAAGTAATATTGCTGACCATATGAACAGAAAACTGGCAAAGTCTAGCGGGACGGAGGGAGTATTATTTTATTAGAGTAACTAAATAAATTAAAACTGGGTGCATTTGATGGAGGAAGGGGGTGATAAGATTTGAATCCGTGATCCTACCTTGAACGGGTGTAGCTCCTCACCAAGCTACACCCTGAATCTCAAGTCAATATCATCCCTTACTTGTTCAGTAGTCAGTACACTGTAGTCAATTATGTACGCATATCATAGTAGCTCTAAAAATATGTCATTATGGTGAAAAACTTTGCTAAGCTACCCAGTTCGGCTCCTTCATTCATGAGTAAGTAATAGTGTTTTCACCCTAGAGGCGTGGTTGAGATGCAAAAGAAAAAGATTTGAAGTCAATAAAGATGAAGAATTTCCCACCGTAACTCCTAGTAACTCCAAGGAATAACTTTTAACTCCATATTGATGATCTTATTAATGAACACATCACATCTATTTATACTAGTTCTAGGGCTTGGTGACCCGGTATTTTGAGTAACTCTGATCTATTACTACCTCCGCCCCCCTAAGATTGAGACAAGAGGGGGCGGTGTGGTTATTAAGAAATGTCAAATTATGTGGTTGATATTGAATTGATAAAGTTTAAAAAATTAAGAATGAATTAGAACATACAAGCATTATCAAATACTGTATGCGACAAACTTATGAAGTACAATACAACCACTAGGAGTAATGACTTAAATAAAATACCTATACTAATAGGAAAGTAATACTAGTAATAAATAATAGTTATAAGAAACTAATACTAACAAAGGGAACTAATAATAATAATAATAATAATAATAATAATAATAATAATAAAAACAACGGGAACTAATAATAATAAATTAACAATAATAAGATAACAGCAATAATAATAATAATAATAATAGGAACTATGAAGCCTCCTTCCACAATACTTCTCCACGTTCCTTTCAAGCAATTGAGCGGCACTGTCATGACACACGAGTAGCTGGTTCAATATAGTCATTTTAAATAGACTCCTAACAATGAGCAATCAGCAACTGTGCAATATTCATATGGTGCAATTTTACTGATGTGCAGTAGTAGGAAATGCATCCAATTATCCTATCTCATTTTCTTTTAAGTTTTAAGTTTTCAATTACAAAGTCTGCAACAACTATAGTTAACTTACAACTTTGTTTTCTGGGCCGAATTTTATGACTTTCGAAACTTCGCGTGAATTAATATGCATTTGTATCCTCTTCTGGTTATCATTAAGCACTTGCAAAGTTGAAAAAAACTTATATTATGATTATTGATTACTATGGTGTACTCTCATGGTCTCATGCTAACTATTGAAGTAATGTAATCTCAACCGACCTTAGTGATGTACCTCACGCCTCAGAGCTGAGACTTAACTAAGAACTTACTTTTGACATTTCAAATGACACTCATGAGCAGATTGCTGTGATGGGAGTGATGAGTATGGTGGCAAAACAAAGTGCCCAAATATGTGCTGGGAGGCTGGCAAGGAGGCTAGAGATAGGTTAAAGAAAAGAATCACAATATATCAGAAAGGTGTTATTATAAGGAAGTCGGAAGTTGAAAAGGCAAAACTGGAAATTTTGAAGGAGGAAGCAGAATTGGTGAAACTAACAAAAGAGGAGAAGATACTTAAAGAAATAGTTGAGCAATTGAGGGGTAAAGCTCTGTATGTTTATGTCAAAATATATAATAAGCCACTCAATATATGTAGCACCGTTTGGTGTCAACTGAGGTCCATTGATCATACTGGCACAGACTATTCACAGTTTCTACTGAGTACTGACATTAGTTTATTTCCTTTTATCAAGAGCACAAGGAACAGATAGAAAAGGCCGAAGAAAAAGAACGATTGCAAAGAGAGAAGGAAGAGAAAGAAAAGAGAGAAACTGAAGAAGCTAAGTTGGAGGATACCAAAATTGAGAAAAACCATGAGGAAGCTGTAAACATGAACGATGGCCTCCGTGAAGATATCCCCTCAGAGAAAGCTCCTTCTGTAGAGGTTGCATTTACTTGTTATTTCAGCATAACCACTCTCGCCCTGTCCCCACATTGTTTTCTGATTTTCTATCTCGGGATTTCCCATCAAGTTATTAACTTTCTATAAAAACTCAGGTAGTACTAATTACACATTCTTCCTAATGTGCCCTTCTATTTTAAGTGACAAGAGACTAGTGTATGATTAACAACTAAAGGTGCTAATATGATATTATTATACATTATAATAGCACTAATCTACAACCTTTAGTCCCCCCATTGTACATTATTTATCCAGCAATGCATGAATGACATTATTTATCCACCCTAATATGCTAGTTTCATACATTACATGCTTCTACCTTCTATTAGAATGCGGTAGAAGATTATAGCAGTAAAGTGGACAAAGCTGACAATATTGACACTTCAGTAATGGAAGAAACCTCTCACAATGAAGCTGAGAGGGTGGCAGAGGACTCACACAAGGTGTTTTTTGTTACCTTGACAACTTTGAAGAGCAATGTCATCATAAGTCATCCGAATTAATTGCTCGACATGTGTTTCATTATGTACAGCATGCCATGATAGAGGAGGATCTGTCTGCAGATGATGATGGATCTGTTCTTAGAAGCACCAATGAGGTAGATGGCTAAATGGACTTCACTCCTTTATTCTAGAACTTGTACAGAGCCTTGTATCACTTCAGGTTGTATATTACTATATTTGTATGAATACTTAACAGGTGTAGGGGTGTGCTTTTGGGGTTTGCATCTCCATCAATTTTTTTCAGGCTTTATATCATTTCAGTTTATGTGCATTTCAAGTTTGTACATGTTTTGAAACCTTAGTGCAACTGAATGTTCTATGAAAACGTGTATGATTACTTTATAGTTCATTGTTTCCTAATGACATTTTTACTGGTTTATGCTTCAATATTGATAATTCTAGGTGAAAGATGACGCTGAAGATACTGAATCCTTGTCAAAGGAAGAGTTGGGCCGTGTAGTTGGTTCTCGTTGGACAGGAAAAAAGAATGAGAAGGAATCTGGAGAGGACAAGACTAATAAAGATTATCATGGTGACCATGATGAAGAATACAGTACATTTGACTCAGATGATGATACTGAAGACCAAATGGATGAACATGGCGAGGAAGATCACAGTGATTCAAATTCATCCCCTTTATTATCTGATGATGAAGCTGAAGATCAAGGGGATGATTTTGTAGGGGAAGATCATGATTCAAGTTCACCATCTTCATCATCATCAGATGACGACGACTTGGATTTATCAGGTGTGTGAGACATTTATTCTTTGATCACTCCACCCAAAAATTTGCTGTGCGTGCATTAGTTCTAATTGACAGTAAATTTTTCCAGATACAGCTAGCACAAGCAATCCACATTGGCTGGAGAAGATAAAAAGAAATGCTCAGAGAATTCTTCAGACTTTCAATTTGTTCCAAACTCCAGTAGACATATCTGGTACCATTTCAATATCAATGCACTTTTTTTCTTTCAAAAGGCAATTGTTAGTTACTCATGTTTTGAACTTCAATCTGCAGAGGCTGCACGCATACGCAAAGAATATGATGATTCAAGTGCTAAGTTGTCAAAGCTTCAGTCGAGGATATCTAAATTGACAAAGAAATTGAAACATGATTTCGGTATGTTTAAAAAAATTTACTAGACATTATACAATAGGCATGGCCAAGGCTCCTAAAAATTTGAATTTGGGGTGGGCTGGGAAAATTATTCACTCATTTAAATTTTTGTAGCAAATTTTAACACACACACAATATATATATATATATATATATATATATATATATATTTATAAGATTTACTAAAATTTAAGGTATGCCAGGGCCTTGGATAAAATGTTGCTGAGGGAGAGCTACTTGCCCTGTTTTCCTTTCAAAAATATTATGTTCAAATCCTGATGGCCAGTTTTCTGTTACAGGGCCACAGAAGGAGTTCTATTCATTCCATGGTCAATGTTTTGAAATCAAGAAAAACAAGTTAATTACTTCTCGATTCAGCCGTTATTTAACTATTAATTTGCTTTGTCTGCTCTCTACATTAGCTGTTCCGATTGACTGTTGTTTGTTCAGGTACACATATAATATTTGCCCTTTTAAAAAGGCTACACAAGTTGAGGGCCATAGCACAAGTCATCTAGGGTAAGGATTCTTATGTCTTTATGGTACATATTCTAAGCCTATAGGGTTCAGATTGTCTTTTTATAACTGATGAAATTTAGAAGTTACAACTTACAATTGATGATTGCCTTGAAGCATCTCTTTACTACTGTCAGTGTATTTTTAGGAACTTTCATTTGCAATAACAATATCTTCGGGTTCGTGAAGTGTTTAACCAGTGCCTTATTTTTCTTGTCCTGAAACTAATTTTCTTATTTACTCGTGATCTGTCATTTAAGGAATTGGGATAAATTTGAGGACTCATACAGAACTATGATATTTACAAATGGAGATCATTGCTGGAATGGACCCGATAGGAGTATAAAGGTAATAATCTTCACCTTGTGGTGTCTAATCCCACGTTTCTTAATTTTCATGTGGAGTTTGTATACTGCGCGTTTCTTGTGGAGTTTTTCCAGATTCAATCAACACACACTGACCAAGTTAAGGGGCTGGTAAAGCATCAACTGGTTTGATGTGTCATTTTGACTATAAAGAAATACGAGAAGCATTAAAGCATAAGCCAAGATTTGTTCAGAAACAGACAAGACTACAAAAGAACAGAAAAAGTAAAACCAATCATGGTTCAAACTGTGTGCCAGTAGCATCTCTTCTGTTTTTTACGTAGTACTTATCTATGATGAAGCATATTCTATATTTATTTCTTTTATTAATTTGTTGAAATGATGAAATGATTACATCTATCCATTCACATCATGTAGTCATGTACGTGTAATATCAACACAAGCAACTCTGCTTGTCACCATCCTAAAAGTACTGTGTAAGAGTTTCCCCCCTTCAAAATTCACTTCCTACAGTGCCGTGCATTTTTGTTATCATGCAGGTGAAACTAAGATGTGGTTTGAAACATGAGGTAACTGAAGTAGATGAGCCCAGCCGGTGCGAGTAAGATTCTTAAACTCTATCATCTTCTTCCTTATATTTTCTCGTTGTGAACTAACAAATGTATCTTCTTCACATGCATTTGCCCATTGAGAACTTTAACCATTGGATTGTACTCTTGATGTAGGTAAGTAGGTTTAGTCTTTCAGTAACACAATGTATATATATAGTATACTGACGTGATGGCTCTAGTCCCAGTTGTTAGGGATCCATTAGGTATGAATAGGACTAAAATCATCATCTCAAATCACTGAGACTAAATTTACACCACATAATCAGGGTATTTTAAAACTCGAAATTGTCATGTTGATATGAAGCAGAATCTGGGCTTGGAAGAAGAGGGGCAAAAGCCTCCGTGGGTTTACTGAAGGCGGGGACGGGCTTGAGCCCACCTTCGTGGGCTGGTTGCGGGCTGTTTAGTTAATATTTATTCTATTTAATTTTCCTGATTTGTTTCCTATTTAGAGTTAATTAGGATTTCTAATAGAGTCAATTCCCTAAATAGGAGTAAAAAGTGGCAAAATTGCACAAATAGGACTACATTTTTTAAATTCCCTTAATAGGAATTATAGGACTATTTACGTGTGTTTGGACCAATATACCTTTGTAACTTGTGAAATGTTTTAATTAATAATAAAATCATAAAAAATAATAAAAATAGAAAAAATACTAAAAATCGTAAAAAAATAATAGAAAATTAATAAAAATATTTTTTAAAAAAATATTTTTTTTAAAAAAAAAAAATCGTAAAATTAAAAAAAAAAAACATTACCACCCCTGCCACCCCCAGCAGTACCAGCTCCCATCACCGGAGAAAAATATACCAACATTTTAAATAATGATATAATGATGGCATATTCAATGAAAATGTTGGCATATTGAAGAGTAATTATGCCATCATTTTGGCATTTTCAGAAAAAGATGGCATTTTTTTTACCAAAAGTGAAAGAAATTTCACCAATCGGAGGTGGTGGTTTTGGGAGGCGGCGGGAGGCGGTGGGAAAGGTATCAATAATTTTTTTCATTTTTTATGGGTTTTTACTATTTTTTATTATTTTTAAAAAATTAAAAAAAATACAAATTAAAATTTTTAATTTATAAATGTTTTATAAGTTTTTTATAATTTTTTTACGTGTTTTAAATATTTTTTACGTTTTTTTTTATGATTTTATTATGATTTAAAGCATTTCATTATGAATTAATACTCTTAGGGGTATTTAGGGTAGAAAATCAATTTTTAGTCCTATTTAGGGAATTTAAAAAGTAGTAGTCTTATTTGTGCATTTTAGGAACTCATTAGTCCTATTTAGGACAATTTCCGTTTCTATAATATTTGTTTCCTATTAGGAGTTAATTAGGATTTCTATTACTCCGTATTAGGGGTGGGTTTGGTTCTTTCGGTTCGGTTTTGACCTAAAACCAAATATGGAACCAAAGTAAAAGTTCGGTTTGGTTTCGGTTCGGTTTTACACTCCAAAACTCGGAACCACAGTTTGATTGGTTCGGTTGGTTTCGGTTCGGTTTCGGTTTTTTCGGGTTTTTACTAAAAAATTTTCATTTGATTTAAAATTGATATATATATATATGTGTGTGTGTGTGTGTGTGTGTGTGTGTGTGTGTGTGTGTATGTATGTATGTATAATAGTTGGAGGGATTAAACATAGTACATAAAAATGCAAGCATACTAGAATAAATAAAGTAAAAATAAGAATAAATAAATATGCTTTGAATTATGAGCCCGTTTGGAGAACTCTGTTTTCGGCTTATCAGGCTTATCAGCCAGCTTTTTCACCAAACACGTAACTCTTACTTTCGCGCGCTGAATTGTGTAATAAGCCGAAAAAGTAAGGTTGGAGTTACTTTTCTGGCTGTATTGGCTGAAGTTACTGTAGAGGACCATTTTAGCTATTTTTACATATAATTTTTTCTTTAATTTATTAATAAAATATATTTTTAAAATATTTTTTTCTTAAATCAGCAGAATAGTCAAAACAGCCACTCCAGCCAGAATATCATAAATTTCAGTAGAATCAGCCAAAACAGCCGATTTTGGTGCTACCAAACGGGCTCTATATGAGTATGTGGGAGAGATATATGTGTATATATTCTTAATTTACATTGTTTGTGACTAGTTTGAAAAAAATTCATGAATACATACATCCTATGTGATATAGCTGAGATGAATATTTATTTGTTTTATCAATATAAAAAATGTAAGTTACATAAAAATAAAATTTAATTACTACTAATAACCAGTAAAAAAAATAATCATGCAACAAATTACAACATACATACATAAAAGACATAATCGATCAATATAGCTACATTATTATGAGCAATGAATGTGTAAATGCATTTATAAACTAAACTAAACATAACACAAACATTATTTCTCTAGCACAAGAAAATAAAATATTATTAATGATATTAGGATTAATGCTTAAAAGTTAACAAATAAAATTTCATATTTTAATTAGTTCGGTTTGTTCGGTTCGGTTTTGAAGGGTTAAAACCAAAACCGAACCAAACAACTACGGTTCGGTTCGGTTTTTTACATTCGGTTTCGGTTTTTAGCGGTTCGGTTTTTTACATTCGGTTTCGGTTTTTAGCGGTTCGGTTTATTTTGGTCGCGGTTCGATTTAATTTGATTCGGTGTTCGGTTTTCGGTTTTTCGGTTTTTCGGACCCAACCCTACTCCGTATTTGTTTCCTATTTGAAGTTGATTAGGATCTTTATTATTCTGTTTCCTAGTTGGAGTTGATTGGGATTTCTAGGATTTTGTTTCCTAGTTTGAGAATAAGTAGATGAGTATTTAAACCCCTTGTTATGATTCATTTTGACTCATCTGGGAATAAAATTGGTTTTAGCCTTTTGGATTTGGGCAATGGTATTTTTATCGTTGATTTTCTGGGCAACGGTTTAACCCGTTGATTTTATTTTTCTGTTTACAACACATGTCCCCCCTTTAGGAGTATCTTGTAATAAAAAAATCTAACCCCGTGTTTGTGGAACAGATATCTTGCATTTTTATCTACACCAGCTGTCTGTGTAGAAGAAAAGCTGAAGGTAATTATTTTGGCCCAAAGTAAAAGATGGCCTGTTATTTACCTCTTCTGTATTTTGAGTGTTTTTCATATTGGTTTATACAATGGTCTGTCTAGTAAATGTGAAACATATATGCGCCGACTCCTAATATTGTGTAAAATAATGCCAATTTGGCAGGAACTCGAAGTTAAACTGAAAATGCTGAACAGTGAGCTACCACAAGGTCATGATGAGCTGTGAAAGATTTGTTTGTTATTTTCGTCTTCCTATTTTTGTAGGACACTGAAAAGCTAAAAGCTACTCCGTACAAGGTTTGACTAATGCTTGAGGTGAGGAAAAATATAAACCAAGAAAATAGAGATTTGGTTTAGATTTCTGTTCCTGACTCGTAAGGGTTGTAACTGTCTAGAGAAAGGAAAAATAGCCTAAATTTAGAAGGTTGAGATAGCCTCATGAACGATGTTAGAGAAACACAAGCGACAATTTATCAGGTTTTTATAGAATATCAATAACATAGAGACAATATGGTGGAAATCCAAATAGAAATCTATTTGGAGGCAAAAGAAGTGAAAATTTATTTAATTGCTCGTTTAATTGAACATCCGAATTCGTTTAATTGCTCTGCAATTACTTTAGCCAAATTACTCAACTACATGCGTGTTAGAAATATTAGACATCTAATAGACTAATACTTTTGCCAAATACAACTAAAAATATGTCTATCACATTAGAAACCAGTTCCATTTGAATTCATATGATTTTCTTTTGAAAAAAATTTCGAAATAGGTGTAAATGTTTGTAAATTCTAAAATGAGATTGTTATATTTTTATTCCCTAAATAGGAGTAATTACTATTAAGTAATCAAGTTTGGAAAATGTTGTCATATTTAAAGTTTGGTAATTCCAAAAAATGACATTAATTACTCATATTTAGGTGATAAAAAACATGATAGTTCTATTTTGAAATTCACAACATTTTTTACACCTATATTTATAACAATTTATTTATTTTTTTAACAATTTCTATACAATGAGAAAGCGAAAGTTTTATACAACTTCATTCAGTTGACTGTTGACGCATTCCTCTATAAGTCTATATAAGTCATAAATATGTTTTTTTTTTGTAGGAAATCAAATCAACTACTATTAATTAAATCAAATTTTAATACATTAGTAATAATTGGGAAAAGGTGCAAATAGGCTCATGTACTAACTAAAAAGGTCAAATAAGCCCTTATTTAGGAAGTTCTGTCCGGCCGTCGTCATTTGGGGTGGTTCTTGATGAAATTTTTTAATGAAATTTTTTGAGCATCTTATTCATCAAGTCTAGTTTGCTCATACCAAATTTCAGCTAAAACTTCAATCGGGAAGGCATTCAAATGAATTCTTGAAGATAACTGCGCTTCTAACTGCGCAGTTATTTTCAAGAATTCATTTGAATGCCTTCCCGATTGAAGTTTTTGCTGAAATTTGGTATGAGTAAACTAGACTTAATGAATAAGATGATCAAAAAATTTCATCAAAAAATTCCACCGGGAACCACTCCAAATGGCGACGGTCGGACAAAGCCTCCTAAATAAGGGCTTGTTTGACCTTTTTTGTTAGTACATTGGTCTATTTGCACCTTTTCCCGTAATAATTTAAGAAGGAACTGATGACCAACTTTGACAATCAATCATAGAACTCGCAACTCTAACCATAACATGAGCAACGTCATGTAATACGAGGAAATGTTTTTATTCTCTAGAGCCCGTTTGGAGACCCCTTTTTTCGGCTTATCAGGCAGCTTTTTCACCAAACACGTAATTTTTACTTTCGCGTGCTGAATTGTGTAATAAGCAGAAAAAGTAAGGTTGGAGTTACTTTTCTGGCTGTATTGGCTGAAGTTACTGTAGATGACCATTTTAGCTATTTTTACATGTAATTTTTTCTTTATTTTATTAATAAAATATATTTTTAAAATATTTTTTTCTAGAATCAGTTGAATCAGCCAAAACAGCCACTTCAGCCAGAACTTCATAAATTTCAGCAGAAACAGCCAAAACAGCCGATTTTCGTGCTACCAAACGGGCTCCTAGTATCTTTAGCTAATATCTAATGAAGTATTGTTTAATTAAAAAAAGCCATTGACGTATTCTACAAAGATTCCAACTTTATATGATATACTTCCCCTGTTTCTTAAAACTTGCAATTTTTGCACTATTTACGCACTTACTTTATCCACGATATTATATTAATATATATAATCAAATTATTATGTATAAAATGTTATTAAATTTCTTTTAATGTGAATTTTCAAAGTATTAACTTTTTATAATTTTTACTAATACATAAATAAATATAATTACGGCCAAAGATGTGCGTTGTCAAACGTGAAAGTCAAACAATTACAACTATTAAAGAATGAAGGATAGTATATCATTTTTGGAAAATACTATCAGTACCCCATTTTTATCCCCCCTATTGTGTGACTTAAATGGGGCAGGGGCAATTCATTTAAGTAGAGTAACTCATTTATATGATTGGCTCATTTGAACACAATGAGTGGGTAAAAATGAGACCTTTCAACTATTGTTCACCCAACCCTATTGGGCTGCCACACGGCATGACAATTTTTTGAATTTTGCTATTATTATAAATTTTCCGTTTTTAGTTCAATTTTTTCAATAAATATATCAATATTTTTAATTCTTTATGATCTTTTATATGACACCAATATTATATGTGTAAAATATAAAAAAAACTGGCTAAAAATATATTTAAGAAAAAATGATTTTTTTTTTCAATTTTTTTATATGCAATATGGATACCATTGGAAAAATCATAAAAATTATTAATTCTGTGTGAAAATTAGATCATATATAAGTGTAATTAATTATTATAATAGTGTAAAATTATAAAAATGTAATTATAAAAATTATTAATTATTTTTTTGTTTAAAAAATAATCTCTCAAGTGTAATAACTTTAGCCATAATAATCCTATCCTATATACTTAATAGGAATACAAATGCATCTGCACCCTTCATTTCGAAATGATCTGCACCGTTCAGATTTCTTCCTACTCTCCCTCTTTTCACTTTCCGTTTCTTTCTTAATCACCGACCCCTCAATTTCTACAATGAACTTTCCTCTTCTTTTCATTTCTTTTCCACTATTCTCTTATCACTCTCTTATCACCGATCCCTGGATTTCCACCATTTCTTCTGCAATATCTATCTTCTTCTTTCCATTTCATTTTTGCAGTTCTCTTATTTCCCTTCTTCATCAGTAGCTTCTTTTTGCTACTGAATTTGTTCCCAAATTCAGTTTTGTTTGACAAACATTCCTTGCCGGAATGAAAGATTACCGCCACCAAACCTCCCGGCTCAACCAATACATTCGACTCCAAGGTTATGTTCCATCGATTTCTCTAAATGTCTCAAACTGTTCATTTACATCTGCAGGTTTTCATTTTTATTTAGTTAATTTCCAACCCAAGAGATATACTTTCTTTAATTTCAAATCAATTTCAATTGTAATTTCATCCCAGATTCTGTTTTTGACAATGTATTAGCTTCTTCCGATCTCATGAACTAATTTCCTATGCATGTTAATGCATATATTCAACCACCGTCTGACCGTCTGTTCAGAAATAATGTTTTTGAATTGATTTGTAACACTTTTATGTTTTAGTTATATTCTGCTAAAATTATGCTAATTTAGATATTTTCATACATATTTATTTTTATTTTTATCGAAACAAGAACCCCTGGATCATTATCTCTTTTTTTAGGGGCAGAGTATTTCTAAATAATAGGATTAGAGTCCAATTAATGATTAGAGTCCTCAACGTACGCTATTCCTAAATATAAAAATATAAACTTCTAAACTTAAAAGGAGACCATCTATACTTATCTCTCTCTCGATAATTATCTCTCTGCTAGCAGATTTTACTTGAAGTGTCCTACACCAACTCTGCATCTATAGTTTTCCCATAGTTATATATATAATACCCCTTTCTCTAAATTAAGTCATCCACACCCCTTTAGCTCCCAGACCCCTGTACTTCACAAAACAATGACTTTCGTTACGTGTAAGTCCCGTTACGGCTTACATTCATCTACCGAAAACCCCGTTGAATATCAAGACATCACACCCGTATCATATAATACCGGATATATTTCTATTCTCGATAATATATATGTTTATCCTTTAATGTTCATAGTTTAGACTTCAACGTTAATTGCAAGCATAAACTAAATTTAACATACTTCTATGTTGTACACCATAGTCATAAACAATCAAAATGTAAAGGATAAATCACAATTTATTGGTTTAGAATTTTTATCAAACACCTAATGGGCATAGAAGTTCATCTCTAGCCTTAGCTAATTACAAAAGTGTAATTAGCTAGAGAATACAAAAAGAAAATATAAAAAGTAAAATTTAAGCTTCAAGGATGGGTTGAATATCTTGTTTGATGAATTGGGGGCTTTATATAGGCTAAATATTGGCATCTTTTAGTCTATTCGAGCCCAACAATTAGGCATGGAAGATATATTTGATCAGATCATGAAGAAGGTGAAGTTTTCCCATCAAAATATTGTTGCACGTCTTTGTGTTTTATGCAGAATCAGGCCTAACCGGCACCGGTTTCAGACCCAACCGACGCCGGTTCTTCATTACGCGCAGGGAAATCTGAAAAATAGACCTAACCGGTGCCGGTTATAAGGGTAACCCGGCGCCGGTTAAGCTACTGGTTTGCCATTTATGTGCGAAAAACATCAGACCGGCACCGGTTTGGTGAAATTCCGGCGCCGGTTTTGTCCTGGGATTTTGGGGATGTTCCGCTACAAATTTGGACATGATTCCTTTACAAAAGTTGTAGATAATGAAGTCTTCTATTCATCAAAACTTGAATGACGTGATTTTATTCAGCCAATCAAAAGATATGGATAAAACACTGAGAGGTATGCATCCTGAAATCCCACCAACAACATCTGACTTTGTTGGTTGATTGAGTCTTGTTCCTTTCATATTTTGGTCAAATTATGGACAAAACATCATTCTCTTGGTCCAAAAAGTCGTTCATCGCAATGTTTTATGCTTTAGCTCTCATTCTGGAGGTATTTGCCCGACTTCTCTTCTTTTCTTCAACAAATACTTATAAATACTTATGTTAAACACAAGTAAATTTAACGGCTATCAATAAATATATATGAAAATTCTTTCATTTTAATAATCTTATTACCCATTACTCACTTTATTTAAAAAATAACTGAATTTAAAAAAATAAATAAAGAAAAATGAAAAAATACGATTATTATATCTTTAATGCTTTAATTAACTACATAAAAAGCCATCAATGAACAAAAATAATACTCTCTCCGTTCTTTAATAAAAGTCCTTCTTTCCTTTTTGGGACATTTTTTTTATTTGTCCTCCTTTCCATTTAAGGAAAGTTTTTACTTTAAATATACCTTTATACCCCCACTTTTATTACCATTACCCCTTTCTCTTTCCTACTTTTTCATTTACCTACTACTCATTACACCTTTTACACTACCCCTACTATTTTCCTCTTAAAACCCGTGCCAAAGCCTAAGAGGACAGATAATAAAGAACGGAGGGAGTATTATAGTAACAAAATTGAAAACCAGAGGACCAGACCGAAATCGGAACCACCAGTTCCAAACGGAACTAGAACCGTTAATATGCAATTCTGGTTCTGATTTCATACTTTTGCTGAACGGTGAACCTCCAATTTGGTTCCAATTTCGGATCCGAATGAACCGCGGACAAGTCTACACCACCTCACCATTTGGAAGATCTTAACGAGTTGTGAACATTTTCCGATAGGACATAATTGTCATTAAGAGGTCATACTTTATTGTAGACAGTTTAAGATGTCATAACAATACACAACACGTTTAACATTATACGGAGTATTCATTTAAGTATAATGTACTCCGTAAAGCTCATTTGAATAATTCATAATATATTTATTAAAACCCAATTTAAGAAAAGCAATTTTTATTTACTCTTCTAAATATATTAACTTTATTGTGTTCATTTTATAATGTTATGCCAATGTCTTCTTTGATCTTGTCCCCCGCTTCTCTCACGCGCGTTAGGGCGATGAGAAGAGGCGGCCACTCACGGTGTTCCTATGCTTTCTTGAACCCTTGCAGAGAGTCGGTCGTGGACGGAAATTCTTCTACCATCCAGTCGGTTCATCATTGAGGTTCTTGGAGTTTGATGCAAGCGTCAGAGCTCGTGGGACCTTGGAGGGGGGGCGAGTTATGTTAATGATGTCCCGACGAAGCCCAATGAGGGGGTAGGATGCCTTGGTGAGTTGGTGTAGCGTTGGGAATGATCTTCGGGAAGGTTGTGGTTAGGGTTTTCACAACTCTCTGAAAGGTGGCAGGCTAGGGCCGCTAGGCTACCAGGTGCCTGGGCTGGGTTCACTCCATGAACAAGACCTCCTCCTGCATGCGTCCGCATCTGGGATGGGTTGAGTTGTTGGATGCCTGGAACTCCCAACGCCATGCGACGATTCCTCAAATCGCCTATGGTCCATGTTGTCATTCCGCCGTCAGAAATCACCGCTAGACCTGCATGAAAGCGGGTTCGGGCCGGGCTCGGGTGAAGAATTCAATTCCTAATTTCCCTGAAGTTTCCTCCATGTGCAAGAATGACAAAGGGATCTTCCATACACCTAGGAGTGACCTTCCTTCCAACCACCATTGAAGCTTCCTTCCACCTTCATAGTACCTAGTTTTGGTGCTATAAATAGAGAGCTTGGAGAGTCTTTCTATTATCAAGCAATTTAGATCATAGATTAGAATACCACAACCAAGTTTGAGTTGTGAATATCCTTGAGAGATATGTGAGGTGTTTTGAGGGTTTTTAGTTAGAGCTTGTATGTCTCTTCTTTCTATTCTTGAAAGTAATAGAAGTGTTTTTCTCTCATATTAGCACGATCCTGTTATTCCCAACAAGTGGTATCAGAGCCTGGTTGAGCTTTTGATATTTTTCCCAGATTTTTCCGGATAAAATTCTACTGTCTGAAAAATCGAGTTTTTCAGTATTGCTCAGAATTGCAATCTGAATATACCGTTGGATTCGTCTCGTCGAGAAGAGAAAACTGGTATTTTTGGGGATTTTTTTGGCCACCGGAAGCTGCCGTACGCGCCGCCAAACGCCGGCCAAAAAATGCCTGCGTCATGCTGACGTCATCACGCGCAGACAGAGGTTAAAGACAGCTGACGTCATCGCTGACGTCATCAGCCAGCCAGAGCTGCGTCAGTGACACGTCAGCGCCACATGTGCAGTCTCAGCACAGTCAGCCGCCACGTCACCAGTCAACTGCCAACTTTCACCAGCGCCGAGTCAGCTGCCACGTCATCGCCCAGTCACCACCACGTCACTGCCACGTCATCTGCCACGTCACCGGTCAGTTTGTATTTTTGAAAATTTGCAGTTTGGTCCCTCAATTTTTGGAAAATTATAATTTCCACCTATAATTTTTCGAAAATTGTATTTTGACCCCGAAAGTGCCTACCCACCACTTTCGGCCGTTCCGGACGCAACGGTGCTGCCCGTTTTTCGAAATTCTGCTCCGATTTTTCTGAAACAGAAAATCAAAATTATATAGAAGGTGAAAATGACCTTTGACGAGTCAACTTCATCTTCCGGAGCTATGATTATGCTCACGGCTACCAACTACACGCTATGGAAACCTCGGATGGAAGATTTCCTTAGCTGTAAAGACCTTTTTGATCCAATAGAGATGAAAGGTATTAATCCTAACCCGGCTAAGTCAACGGAATGGAATAAAATTAATAGAAAAATTATTGGTCAAATCCGACAATGGATTGACCATAGTGTCTTCCACCATGTTGCATAAGAAACCGATGCTTATGCCCTTTGGAAAAAGTTAGAAGATATGTACCAGGCCAAGACCGCTAGGAACAAGGCCCTACTGATGAGGCGTCTTGTCAATATGAAGCTCAAAAGTGGAACTTCTGTTGCCGAACATACTAGTCAATTTCAGAGTCTGGTAAATCAACTATCTTGTGTAGAAATGCCACTTGGAGATGAAATGCAATCTCTACTACTTCTTAGTTCCCTTCCTGATAGTTGGGAGACACTAGTTGTTACTCTCAGCAACTCAGCCCCAGATGGCAAACTTACCATGTCTGTGGTCAAGGATGCACTGTTCAATGAGGAGGCAAGAAGGAAAGACATGAGCACAGATGAGACTCATGCCCTTGTGACGGAGAATCGAGGAAGATCACAAGGAAAGCAACAAAGAAACAGTAGAGGAAAGTGGCAAAGCAGGGGCAAAAGTCGGGGGAGATCATCAGATGGCCGGAAACCTTCTTATACCTGCCACCATTGCGGTATAGAGGGTCACATGAAGAAGAATTGCTACAAATTGCTAGAGGAGCGAGGCAAGAGCAATTCTCAAGTGAAGAGCAAGGGTGGTGAAGCGCTCATCACAATCTCAGGTGATGTGGCGTATTGTACTATCAATGATGAAACATGCCTTCACGTCTCAAGAGAGGACACTGAATGGGTGGTAGATACTGCAGCATCCTACCATGTTACTCCCCACAGGTACTACTTCACAACTTACAAAGCTGGAGACTTTGGAGCAGTGAAGATGGGCAATTCCAGTTCATCTGAAATAGCTGGAATTGGTGATGTACAAATAAAAACGAGTTCTGGGAGCACAATCACTTTGAAGGGTGTCAGACATGTTCCAGACCTTCGTCTCAATCTCCTGTCAGTGGTATGTCTTGACGAACAGGGGTATGAAAACCACTTTAACAGGGGCACCTGGAAAATGTCAAAGGGCGTTTTGACAATCGCTCGAGGACATGTTTGTGGCACATTGTACAAAACCCATTTGAGGATTTGTACGGATAGCCTCAACATTGCTGAGGAGACTTCTCAGAATCTGTGGCACCTGAGACTCGGCCACATCGGTGAGAAAGGGCTGACTACCTTGATCAAGAAGAACCTTATCAACATCGACAAGAATGCTGCACTGGGTCCTTGCAGTCATTGTCTGTTTGGTAAGCATCATAGAGTATCATTTAGTTCTACTTCAGCTAAAAGATCAGAGTTGTTAAGTTTGGTACACTCCGACGTCTGTGGTCCTTTCGAGGTGGAATCAATCGGTGGAAGCAAATATTTTCTGACTTTTATTGATGATGCTTCTCGGAAAGTGTGGGTGTATTTCCTGATTACGAAAGATCAGGTATTTGAGTGCTTCAAGACATTTCACGTCTTGGTGGAACGTGAAACGGGAAAGAAGCTGAAATGTCTCCGATCTGATAATGGAGGCGAGTATACTTCTAAGGCGTTCGATGCATATTGTAGAGAATATGGCATTCGACATGAGAAGACAGTACCACGCACCCCTCAGCACAATGGCGTTGCTGAAAGAATGAACCGGACTATCATGGAGCGTGTCCGGAGCATGCTGAATATGGCTAAGCTTCCGAAGTCATTCTGGGCAGAAGCAGTCAACACCACATGCTACCTTATCAACCGATCACCTTCGGTACCACTGAACTTTGAAGTTCCAGAGAGGTTATGGACAGGTAAGGATCCTACATACTCACATCTTAGAGTATTTGGATGTTCATCATATGCACATGTATCCAAAGAGCTCAGACAGAAGCTCGATGCAAGAACTATCCCATGCATTTTCGTTGGCTATGGAAATGAAGAGTTTGGATACAGGCTATGGGATCCTAAGGAGAAAAAGGTGTTCAGAAGTAGGGATGTTGTGTTCCACGAAGATTTGACAATAGAAGACATTGAAAAACCCACAATGTCTCGGAAGTCAAATGAGGGTGTTCAAGTTTCAAATAAAGCACCAGAAGAGGACAAAGTGCATGAAGATAACTCAGAAACAGAAGAAGGCGAGGAGACAGAAGAGAGTGCAGAGCAAGGGGAGACACAATCCACCCCGCCAGACACAGATGATGGTAGCTCTTCTCAGATGGTTCCTACTGTTCGTAGATCTGAACGAGGGCATATACCATCGACAAGGTACACATCATCCGAATATCTTTTGTTAACTGAAGATGGAGAACCGGAGAGTTTTCAAGAAGCTGTATCTCATAAGGATAAAGAAAAATGGCTAATAGCAATGTAGGATGAGTTAGAATCTCTGCAGAAAAATCAAACTTATGAGATCGTAGAACTTCCTAAAGGGAAGAAGGCACTAAGGAACAAATGGGTGTTCAAGCTGAAGAAGGATGCAAGCGGACAAGTGGTGAAACACAAAGCTCGGTTGGTTGTCAAAGGGTTCCAGCAGAAGAAAGGAATTGACTTTGATGAGATCTTTGCACCAGTTGTCAAGATGACCTCAATCCGAGTTATTCTTGGCTTGGCAGCAAGTATGAACTTGGAGCTTGAACAGATGGATGTGAAGACAACATTTCTTCATGGAGATTTGAAAGAAGAAATCTACATGCAGCAGCCGGAAGGTTTTGAGAACTCAAATGATAACTTTGTGTGTAAGTTATCTAAAAGTTTGTATGGCTTGAAGCAGGCACCAAGGCAGTGGAATAAGAAGTTTGACTCATGCATGAAGAGTCAAGGCTACAAGAAGACTACTGCAGATGAGTGTGTATACATCAAGAAACTTCCAGACGGTACCTTCATTGCTCTTCTACTATATGTAGACGACATGTTGATCGTTGGGAAAGATGCAGTGAAGATAAACCAACTGAAGAAAGAACTCTCTAAGTCTTTTGATATGAAAGACTTAGGACCGGCTCAACAGATTCTTGGGATGCAGATCACTCGAGACAGGAAGAATCGCAAGTTATGGCTATCTCAGGAGAAGTACATTGAACGAGTACTTGAGAGATTCAACATGAATGATGCCAAGCCAGTAAGTGTTCCACTTGCGAATCACTTCAAGTTGAGCAAAAGAACATGCCCTACATCCAAGGAAGAGATCGGGGAGATGTCAGCAGTTCCATATTCTTCAGCAGTTGGGAGTTTGATGTACGCCATGGTATGCACAAGGCCAGACATCGCACAGGCAGTGGGTACAGTGAGTCGTTTTCTCTCTAACCCCGGGAAGGAGCATTGGGAGGCAGTCAAATGGATTCTCAAGTACTTGAAAGGTACCACGAAGTTATGTCTTTGTTACGGAGGAGCTGATCCAGTCTTGGAAGGCTACACAGATGCTGATATGGCAGGAGATACTGATAGTAGAAAGTCTACTTCAGGATATATCTACACTTTTGCAGGGGGAGCCGTTTCTTGGCAATCAAGATTGCAGAAGTGTGTCGCTTTATCTACTACAGAAGCAGAATACATTGCTGCCGCTGAAGCAGGTAAGGAAATGTTGTGGCTAAAGCATTTTCTCCAAGAACTTGGGATCCGGCAGAAAGAGTACAAGGTACATTGTGACAGTCAGAGTGCTCTAGACTTGAGCAAGAATTCTATGTACCATTCTCGTACAAAGCATATTGACATTCGGTATCATTGGATACGGGAGACGATTGATCAACAACTGTTGAGACTAGTGAAGATCAATACAAAGGAGAATCCATCAGACATGCTGACGAAGGTGGTAACACGAGATAAGCTAGAGCTATGCAGAGACATAGTCGGGATGCTTGTTTTGAATATGCCTGGAAGGGGAGAATTGAAGAATTCAATTTCCAGGTCATATCCAAGTACAAGCAAATTGAAGAATCCAATTCCTAATTTCCCTGAAGTTTCCTCCATGTGCAAGAATGACAAAGGGATCTTCCATACACCTAGGAGTGACCTTCCTTCCAACCACCATTGAAGCTTCCTTCCACCTTCATAGTACCTAGTTTTGGTGCTATAAATAGAGAGCTTGGAGAGTCTTTCTATTATCAAGCAATTTAGATCATAGATTAGAATACCACAACCAAGTTTGAGTTGTGAATATCCTTGAGAGATATGTGAGGTGTTTTGAGAGTTTTTAGTTAGAGCTTGTATGTCTCTTCTTTCTATTCTTGAAAGTAATAGAAGTGTTTTTCTCTCATATTAGCACGATCCTGTTATTCCCAACATCGGGCCGGGCTTTCCATAAGTTTTCTGCCCATCGTGTGTGGGCGGGCCTGGCCCGGCCCGCAAAAACGGGCCTAACCCCATGTCCATACCCGCCCGTAAGAGCGGGCCGGGTAGTCCATCGGGCCCGGTAAAACTTTAAATTTTTCAAAATTATACGGAGTATAATTTATTTAATACTTTATAAATAATATTACAACATTTAAAAAATTGCTAATACGCTTATAATGTATATAGGCCTTTCATCACATACACAAAAAATATTTACACAAAAATAATAATGAGAAACTATATCTAAAATTTAAAATTCAAGCACAAAGTATTATCTTTTAAGTACAAAAATAGATATTATATTGGTTGAACTATTTGTTAAGAACTAAAAACTTAAATTTAAACATAATAAACTATAAATATATCTACAGATAAATTAGTAAATATGAAAACATATAAGTGTACATGTAAATAAATACATAAATTAGTATATATAAAAATATATACGTATATATACTAAATGTAGTGGGCCGGGCTTATCGGCCCGAACGGGCCTACACCCTAACCCAAGCCCGCCCATATGTTGTTGCGGGCTGGGCCCGGGCCGGTGGGTAAATATATATGCCCAAGCCCGCTAATTTGTGTGGGCGGGCTCGGCGGGCCGGCCCGGTTTTGTACAGGTCTAATCACCGCGTAAGGAATGAGATCCCCCATCGTCAATAATAACCTGATTGATCCGAGCGTCACCATGATTGCTGGCAACACAATTGTTGCATGCTATGAAAACCAACCATCTTTTATTGTTTTGGACTCGTGAATCAGCTCTCAATGAAAGCATCAAATGATGGAGTATAATTTCAATTGCAAGAACTAATTACGATGGTTTTTGTGTGTGCGAAAGTAAATATTTTTGCAACGTAAGACAGTATTATTATTCTAGCGACAAATCCCTTTTAGGGTAATTATTAATTACAAGAAGTATTTATAAACATAAAAGCTACTATCGCACTGGGATACATAACCGGTACATTTAATAATTTTAATCATGAAAGGACTTCTCTAACGTATTTGTCATAACTCTTTTATTTAATGTCTCCTTTATGCCCACATCCCTTCAGGTTTATTCCCTGCCGCTTCCATGTAGTCATGCATTCACACATGGCTTGCCACACAAGCCTTACGGAGAGTCCGGCCTTGCAGAGACTTCAACCAAGCTCGAAACCCGTCGTCCCCCTATTCAGGCCCAAATGGTGTTATTCATCAATCTCGTATACTGGGCTTCTCTTGGATAGGGCCACACTTACTTGTTGGGCTATGGTCAGAGACTCGATGATTACCATTGTATCCTACTCGATGATTGGTAAAATCTACGTAAGAAGCACCAAGTTTATACATCTGATTCCACAATAATGAAGATGCTAGCCTCACACTGAATGCAGTAATTTGCACGAACAAAGTAAGTTTCAATGAAAAGAAAACAAAGGCCTCATAACTCATAAGACTAATCTGAAATGCTCTTGCAATCACAAAATAAGGGGTGGAATTTAGTAAAGATTCTTACGCAATTCGACTTTGATCAAAGATGGTTTTTTAACATGAATTCTCTGAAATGTCTCACTAACATAAATAGTGAAACAATACTGACAGTACGGAAAAGTTATTAAAAAAATCTAAATAAAATATGTATACAAAAAAATGGAAATAGTTATTTGTATGCGACAAAAGGAAGTCAAGTTATCGTACATTGCAAATTAAGAAGCCTTGCTAAGAGAGGACAATACAACATTTTTTGGAAGATGTGTAGAAAGTTTCACACATGAGAGTAGTTATAATATAGTCTTAAGATGACTAATTTTTTGAGAATCGGAAGTAGTGCAAAAGGAAATAAATGTAGTTATATTAGGGGCGTCTGATTTGCCTAATCTAAGATTAGCTTGGTAATGTTGAGAAGGTAATGTGAGAATAACTTCTTTAATTTGAATAGCAGCGCAACATCAGTGAATAGGAAAGAAGGGACAATCTCGTCCGTAGGAGTATGAAGCTACCCCACAACCACCGCCTCTCTCCTTTATTTTAGTCTGACAGAGACCTTTTGCTTTCTCTGAGCATCAATTCGGGAAGGGCATCCTATCACGAACATAATTCGATCGTAATTTTAAAACTACTTCAAAAGTGTTTCGATTTCCCTGCTTCAAATGCTCACAATGTGTGTTTGCTTGAAAGAGTGACTCAGAGAGTGTTTGCTAAAACTTAAAAAAATGTTTTTCACCTTTGACTTAAAAAGGCTGAAAAGAGTGTTTTCAAATTATAGTTTTTGCTCAAATTAAGCACTTAAAAAACTGGAAACAGGTGGAAGGGTGCATTAAACTGCTTTTCGTTTTTTCTATTACAAAAAAAGCACTTATGTTACCAAACACTACCAACTTTTACTTTTTCAGAACAACTTTTTCTCAAACACTACCCAACTTTTACTACTAAGTACTTTCTCCAAATTCACTTTAAAAATTCATGTTTCTGAAGTAGAAGCAATCACAAACACTCCCTTATAATATAACTAGTTTTTTTAAAGGACGTCAAACTTTATTATATTATACAATTGATTCCTTTGTTAGAACCATCCAACAATTCAAAATCAACCACCAATCTTCAGGGACGAATCCAGGATTTTGAGTCAAGGGGGGCGAAAATTTTCGTTTTTGTAGGGGGGTAAAATAATTACTAGTGTAGCGGGGGGGACGTTTTTTGCTAGTGTAGCGGAGCTAAAATTTTCACAACTGTTAGGCTCTGCGGCTATTATTTTTACTAAAAAAAATCATTAAAACATACACGACAATATTGAAATCTATAACTATAATTTTATAATTAAAGTGCTCTAGAACTACTAATACATTAAAGCGTAAGAAATGACTAATCAAAGGAAAATAATTTGAAAATAAAAAAGGATATATAACATTTTATTTGAAGATAAATAGCTTATAAGGTACACGTTGACCAATACTATAAAATAACTTCTACATTGTTTAACTACATGAATCTTATAGAAATAAAGAATTGATTTTTGAATTACAATTTTTGTCTACCAAGGATGGTGTTCATGATGAGTCACGAGGAGTTTTGTTAATATTACACTATTATGTATGAGTTTTGTATTAATGCTAAAATAAGTTAAAGTTTATTATCTATGCAATAAAGTCTTTTTAGAACGTAATAGGTAAATGAATTGTGTAACTTAATGTCCATAAATATTTATATTTTGGATTCACTTCACATGATCTAAAAACTGTGTAACTAGTGTGCCTGGTATTTAATATCGTTTTATATATATTTTACAAAATCGAGTACTAGTTATCTAATAAAGATAATTAAACATTGCAAAGCTAAGAATTTTTATATAATAACTGTCTTAAATATTAAACAATGAATTATTCTATTGTTTATTTATTCAAGTTATGTAAAGGGTTTTTTTCAAAAAAATTACCAAAATAAAACTAGTTTACAAAAATGTGACTAATAGTTACTACAATGTAGGATCATAGTAACTACGGTTCAAAATTTATATATAAGTTATCATTATTTCATTACTACTCTAGTCACTAATCACATTTTTGTAAACACTCTTCATTTTAGTCATATATATGTAATTATTTGAGAAAATAAAAGGGAAATTTCCTTGGAAGTCTTTGAGAAGAAAAAAGAAGAAAAGAAGAAACCGCACATAGGATTCGAACTCTAACCGTCAGAAGAAGAGTGTGCTCAACCAGTGAGCCAAAACGTGAAACCTTGAAATGATCAGTGGGTTTATTTTTACTTCTCTTCGTGACAAGAAGAGGAAGAAAACAAAATAAATATTTCAAATAATCCTTCTTGTATATCTCCAATTAAGTATTACATTTATGTAAGACTATATATTAGTTTTGACTTTTGAAAACTAAAAGTTAAGGGGGGCGAATCTAACTAAAGTATAAAAATTTTACATAAATATTTACATATATAGTAGAAAATTTTAAAAGTCCAAGGGGGGCGATCGCCCCCCTGCCTATCTTCTAACAAGCTCCATCTAGACTCTAGAGGTGCCTTGTAATAAGACAACCACCTCCAAAGAAACAACGTGAATCATTGACCACCAAACGGGCAACATAGAGTTCTTACTGATGTTTAAAATCACTGTAATCTTCGCCGTTTTACTAGACTCATAATAATCAAATGGAAATAGTGTCACTATAACCTCAACCCCTGACCAGACATAAAATTCACCCAAAATTGAGTTTCGCTGAGCATATAGAAGTTTCGAGGCATATACCTCTGGTCATAGCTAAACTAGACAGCTGAAGGTTACCACTAACACAAACAATCGAAGAACAAGGTAAATTGTCTATCAAAATAAAAATATAAAAATTAAGCAAGAGTGTAGGCAGTCAAATCCAAACTTGAAACGTCTTCTTTGAAACTTTAAGCCATCGTTCACTCCATGGAGGCGGTTCAGGAGAGGGGCGAACCATCAATACTTAATCTACCTCTTCTTCTTCCTGCAACCCATGTCATTTGCCTGCATGATGAACCATATTGAGGTAAAAGTCTGGGGGTAGACTTTTAAAGTTTTTTGCTTTTTAAAGTCTTTCCCTCTTTAAGAGTTTATTCTTAGCCTTTTGAAGGTTATAAAATGCACGAAGGAAGTCTTGACCTATTATGAAAGTGCAGTTACACATTTACTATTTATAAAAAGAATGACTTTTGATTTATAGTAAGATGATGGGGAGTGTTTTGAGGACCAAAGCATACAACACTATGGTCCTCTCTATAGGTACAAGCTTTGGTCCTCTATATAGGGGAGTGTTTTGAATGA